TTCGCAACCGACCTTCTTTAATGCACTAAACACCACTACAAACTCTTACGAAATGTAACGATGGGGCGCTAAAAAAATATTTCGACGTAATTTTAAACCACACAAATAAAATCTTAAATATTATTATATAACGAAACAATATAACTTAAAATATTTTACAAATATACAAAATTCAATCCGTTAAATAAAGAAAGAAAATAATACAAATCTCGAAAGTTTTAAGGCGACAAATTCTTTTTTAATACGACATTAATCGGTCTATTTAAGAAAAAACTATCATAGCTTAGAAAATAGGAAACCGAGTTTCTGTTACCATTGTTACATTATACAGGATGTTTTGTATTGTATTGTGAGCGTATAATTTTCAAGCATACTGTTTCAGTAAAAAAAAACTGAATATGCGTATAACAAATAAGCATGACATTTGATAAGCCTGTCAACGGTAGCGATGTATTGCCAATAAAATGGGTGGTAGGAACCTTAAAATTCAATCCGGTCACGAACCACCGTCCGCAGATGAAAAAGTCGTGAAGTTTCATCACACGACAGTCCACATAAGTCCATTCGTTTATTGCTGATCATCGAAACTATTGGTGAACTGTAGAAGTCACTAAATGATTATGAAACACTGGAAAATACTTGGCTCCACAGCTCAGAGGAAAACGATTCGTCCTTTAGATTTTGACGATCGATTCTTTAATATCTAAAGCAATTCACGTACAGACGTTGAATTTAAATTATTATTATCCGTCCTATTCTAATAGATATAGTTAGAAACGAGTTAGCAATATATCTCTGGTACTTTACTTACAGTTCAAATCTATGTGCTTTTGTAAATAGAATAACTCAACCGTTCAGTGTTTTATTTAAATGTGTACTATCCGTGTAAACTACGAACAATGCTTCAGTATTTTTCTTGCCGTATCTTTTAATTTTTACTAAGCATAGGGAATAAGATTAATTTATAAATTGATAATTTTTCTATCTCTGGTTTAAATCTTAGTAAATTGTATTTTAACATTTTTAATTAATAGGTTTGAACCATAGGGCTACTAAAAAGAACGTCATTACAAAGCGACATATTTTTGCATTTTGCTTGAACCCAGGACTCCCTCAAGTGGTCGGTTATACGATTTACCACACTCCCCACGTCACTATTGCCCGACGTAGGCGTGGAAAAGGCACTCGACCATCAGTTAAAAAAAACCTTACATTCACTGTTTTTTAATGAAAATAATCGAAATCGAACTTACTACATCAGAATCGTACTCTACCTTATGCGGTTGAGGGTCAAAATAGTCGGTACAAACAGGTTTTACAACATAGCAATATAGCACACGTTTTTTTATATACACATAATCGCTGTAGGGTCAATTTTAGAGTTATTGACCTAGAATTATGTTATTAGTTCCTTCCTGTTTCCTATCTAGGTGACAATAATATTTAGACGTAGTCATGATTGCTTTTAGACGTTTGAAGGTGTTTTGTGGTTTTAAAGGTTGTACGTTTGGAACAAGCGGACTAATTGTAAAATGGTCATCGTTATCCCATAAATATTTTCCCCAGCCAAACTTAATTCTAATTCAATTGCCAATGCAGGAACAATGGAATTTTTTGTTACAATGTTCAGTCACTTTAAAAAAGTTTAAGCTTTTTTCATAGTATGTTTTTTTTTATAGAGGACAGGCATGGCAGTCGATCTTAGGTGAAATAACTCAGCCTATATGCTATACTAAACAAGGTCCGCTGTCGACCTATTTTGGCTATGGATATTCGGAACCACACACTAAAACCGAAACGCGATTAGGCTTCACGGCTTTTTCATCTGTAGATGGTGGTGACCCGGATGGAATTTCTATATTCCTATCACCCAATTAATAAGACATGTGTGATTAAAATCCCGTCTAACTAACTCTGACTAAAGTCCTGCCCGTGAGCTGAAATCTTTTCAATAAAAAAACTATTTTTCATTTATATAATGCCATCATGTATAGAATAGTAAAAAAATTCTATTTCAGTTGTTACAACCAAACAAACAAACAAAAAATACTTTATTTTCACCACAATATTACAAAATAAACTTAAAAAAAAACAAAATGTAGCGAGAAAAGGCGGCCTTATTGCTAAGAAGCGATTTCTTCCAGGCAACCTTGAAGATGGAGATTTACAATAATAATTGACTGTACTGTACTTGTTACTGACTTAACTTAATTGTTTTTTATAGCGTACGAATCAAACCTTTTTAGCTTTCCGCAAAAATTACGCTGATATTAATTCTACTTCACAATTTATATTTGTTTCAAAACAGGTTCATCGCGAATGTTCTAATGCGAATTAAAAATATTTCCGTCTCTTAATTCATTCCGATGCCAAAAGGAACGCTATCGTTACGGTTTTGAATTCGTTTATAAATAGATATAGTATAAAATACAAAATAGGTAGTTTACGCACGTAGTATACATTAAAATAGATCACTTTTAACTGTTAAAATATAAAAGATTAACTTATTTACAATGATTTTCAGTGCAGACCGACTTTCAGATGCTAAAAGCCACTCGATTACAACTGCTGCAAAGCATTCGAAACATCGAGCGGTAGCTAAAATTTTTTTGAATAAGTTAACTATTATATTTCACGTTTTAAATCGTTAAAAGTAAATACTGTCTATAGTTTACGCGAGTAGTGCATATTCAAATAAATACTTTAATTGCTTAAAACGCGACATATTAGTTAAACTTATTTGAAAATGATTTCTAACTTCGGCCCGACGTTTCGGATGCTTTGCAGCAACCGTGGTCAGGGGAAGGTAAAGTTTCCGAAACGTTGTACCGTACTTAAAATAATTGTAAATTAGTACACCCAGAATACTTAAACTCATTTAGATTACATATGCATTTTTGTGAAAATATATGATATGTATCAATAATCGTTTTTTTATGTATGAAGTGAAGAAGCTTCGTTAAGACAGCATAAATTATCTTTTTGCTCAGTTGTGTTAAATTTAACTTGAGAATTAGCTCAAAAACAAAAATAGTGTTAGTAACAATTGCACGTATATTGTTATATAGTTAGGCCACTGTAAATTGACGTTATAATATTAGATTGAAATTTACGTTATCTTTGAAAACACGAAAAAATAATTTCACATTGAGACCGTTGAACTTTGCGAAGAATTTACAATCGTATGCAAATTGTATCTTTGATTTATGCATAGCTGAATTCGCTGTGATTTATGTTGATTCTCGTTTTCTAGAAAACAAATTTGATTTTACACTAGAACGTGAACATACTGAATCGTTATCACAAGACAGTTTACTTAAACAGGTAAAATTTTAATATTGATAATACGATATAATTAAAATCCTTTACTTTCCTTCCCCACAAACAAATATTTGTTGGGTCGTAGTTGAAAGTAAATTAAAATTTAATGCATTTATCTGTATATAAAGTAATAAAATTAGTATATGACTTGTAATGCATACTTACAATAAAAATATACAATTAAAAAGGGTTGTATGTTTGTTGAGACGCGTTGATATCTTTTATTGCCTCATAAGGTGTCATCAAAGGTTTGAATTTCGAATGGTATTATAGTAAGTTTTAACTTGGATCATTGTAAACCTGTTTCAGAGTTAAGGATTTGTGGGTAGAGCCATACAGCCTCTCTGTTCATAATATTGTTTCGACAAGTGCAAAGTGGCAGAGTCTCACAGGCAGACTTATTATGTTTTTATTATTGCATAATAGGGACACCTTGAATTAAACAGACATACATATTTTTAAAATCAACAATTAATGTCTCTTTATGAATGAGTGTTAAGGTAGCTATTAAGGTCAATTCTTATCATATTACGTTCTAACGACTTAGAACGTCTAGGCGCTAAGGAAAAGTTATCCATCGACTTATTTAAGGAAATGCTTTGCCTTACCCTGATTGAAGTGCTCGCTATTTTCATTTATAAAAAAAATGTTTAGAACTCTGTATTTTATTAATATCTTTAGTAAGTAACCTGAACTATCTACAAGTTCCGATATATTTTATTATATATACAGTTCCTTGTGGGAGTTTATGAGCATTAACAATAAATATCTACCTATTAAATTTCATAGTAAACATTTATACTAATATTATAAAGCTGAATGTCTGTTTGTTTGAACGCGATAATCTCAGAGATTATTGGTTTAAATTTTAAAAAATATGTTTGTGTTGGATAGACCATTTATCGACGAAGGCTTTAGGTTGACACTGCAACCAATAGGAGCGAGCAAACAGAGAAAAATGTAAAAATACGGGAAAAATCATCTTCGTGCAAAGATAATGAAAGCCTCATTACCTTTGCTGCGAAAATAGTTTCACTAACCAGAAAATATGTATGAAAGAATGATTCATCTTTAAATGATGTAAAAAATGTCCGTAACGTATATGTCAATCTTTTAAGATTATCTTGCAAATACAACGGGACGTGGACTACATCGTGGTTACCAGCTATAATTTATAACACTGAAGGGGTTGTTTGCAATACTAAATTTTGATGCCCCAAGTCGCACCTAGCTAACTAGCTAATCAACTGATTATAATAATGTAAGTAATATTGTTCTTATAATTTGAAGTAATTCTTTTTTTGCTATATCATAACTTTTCAAAATACGAGAATGGAAATTGCCTACTTATTATTTCCAGATTTAATTAAATTAAGATGGTTTATAAAATTTAAAAGGACGTATCTAAATATTCTTAGTCGTAATTATTAAGTATAAAAAAATATTTAAATCTTAATGTTCTCGAATTGCGCACGAACTTTAATGTACGCAATTCTGGAAAATAATTCGTGCGATAAATGAAAAACAACCTAGTCGACATAAATTATGAAATTATATTCTAATTATTTATATCGTGTAAGCAAAAAAAGTACTTACCCGTAATATAACTGAATAAGCAACGAAATAAAAGTTATGTAAATACGTCAATATATCTAACGTAAGAATAAAACATAATTTACTTTTCAAAGCCCACAGCTCCAACCGATCCAGGCTGTCCAAAAAGAGCCTTCCATCCCGTCTACACTGTTCGCTGGTCCCGTTCAAAGGCACTAAAATCTTCGGGAACTTATCCCACAATCCCAGAACGTCCACCCTGGCACTGACGTCCACCGATTCATTTTTCGCGGCCAACTTCAGTATCGTCCCGTTGAAAAGGCTATCGGATAGAATGGTATTGTCTGATAGGGTGAGTTCTAAGCAGTCGCGTGCGCTCGCGCAAGCGAAGAGCGCCAGTAGCACGCAGGCGCGCGCGTTCATGTTGTCTGTTACAATGATAGCGAGATCGAAGCCAGCTGCGCGGATCGGTATTCAACCCTTTGACAATGACACCTATCAAATGGACAATGGCTTGAGTAATTTTTTAGTAATCGGCTGAGATGTTCATTGTTTGCATGTACTTATTTGAATACTGAATAATTGTGCTTTATCGGTATTCATTCCTTCTAAGGTATTTCAAACTCAAACTCAAACCATTTGTTTCACAATAAATGACTTAAATATTAGGTTAATAAATACATAGAAAAAGAGGAACTTAGAAGAGTGCTTGTGAAATGGGAGAAAGCACTCCGTATTTGCTTCACCACCCAAGAGTAGAGGAGAAGTGCTGTTTTCAGTGCCCCTACCCCCAGGAAAAAGGAGTGACCAACAACGACAGAACTACACGCATTTAAAAGTAAAGTGGAATGTGTGTTGTAAACTCTACAAAAGATTAAACATCAAAACTGTTATATGATAAAAATATATATAAGTACATATCTTGTTTTAAATGCGTCAAGCCTGGGTTTCTATTCCGTTAAATAAAAGGTGAGCTAAATAGAAAATATAAAACTTATTGATATGTTGTACACTAATATGTTTCATTATTGATATCACAGATATTCGTTCTATAACTCTCTGTAAAAGGTAATTGTCTGTTTATAAATAAATTATTTTGGTATATGATAAAATGAACACTGAAGTACCAACGTGATCGTTGAGGGTTCAAGTGATATTAATATTACTCATGTCAAGGTCCGGAGATGTCTAGACTGCAGGCTGCAGGCTATATTCAGATTTCGGGGACTTATTTATCATAATGATTTATTAGATCAAAAACTTTAATTGTATTACTTTTCCGGGTGTAGCGGTTTATATTATTTTTGGCTTTATTTTATATATACAAACTAACCTCATTATCTATCTAGTTCTACTACTTCCGTGTCTTTCAAGAAAATAATATATATTATAACGCTAAAGAGTTTTTTTGTTTGTTTGCTTAAAGCACTAATCTCAGGAACGATTGGTCCGAGATGAAAAATCCTTTGTGTTTTCGGTTTATTGTGCAAGTTGGATTATATATCGAGAAAAGCTATAAAACATCATGCTGCGACCAATAGAACTGAAGAAACAGAGGTAAATGTAAAAAGACGAGCGAAATTATTTATCTCTGATAGACATCACCGTTTTCGCAACGCACGCAACGGAGACCCAAGGGGCAAGATATCAAAAAATATGTATTTAAGTTTTTTTTTTTATAGTATTATAAAAATATTTTTTATGATTAAATGAAAGAACATCATACCGCCATGGGAATCAAAATATGGCCCTTTTCATATGGCAATAATACGTATTAACGAAAACTTTACCAAGTAAAAATATTTGCACTTTACGATTTACCTTTCCAAGAACCTAAGCTATTGCTACTTTAGCTTCCAGCAAATTGACTTCAACCATTTTCATATTTTGATACACCAATTTACAGACTTCCTTGTTGTTTGGGCATACATCACATGCCTGTAAAATTGTTTGGATTAGGATGAACCATAATTACGAATCGTTACGTGACCGCCTCTGTTTAACGTGTTGCCTAGCATTGCGTTAAGCGTGAGATGTCCTGGGTTTGAATTTACGGTATCCCCAGGGACACAGTAAGTTGTTTCGGTCGGGCAGGTCACAGAAGTCTGATCAACAACTTGCCTGTAAATAAAACCGATCATTGAAATGGACGCAAACTTAGGTTCGCCCTATGCCCGACGAAGGGAAACGGGATTTCCTTATTTTTATAATTACGAATGATTGTCGTCATATTCACTTAATAAAATTAAAATGCACTTAAACATAATTAACAAATGCTCCAATATTCATTATCTCTTAATTGAAAAATGAAGTAATGATTTGAGCGAAATGATTCTTAGAAGTGGGTCGTGGCGTATAAAAATTACTTTGTATGACAACAGTGTTCTCTATCCTGTAGGTAACGTATACGATAGCACTGACTATAGACGTGCTAAAAGATATATACCTAAAAATTCATAAAGAAATGTCAATACTCAATACTATTATGTAATTGAACATTTATTTATCTTCCAAATGATAGAGGAGGGCAGAAGCTTGGGGTTCGCTTGATCGTAGGTAAAATATTCTAGCTATAGTATATCCTAACGAGATGCACTATTGATCTACTTTGTCTTTGGATATTCGAAAATCCACTGACTGCAACCGAAAGGTGATTAAACTTCACGGCTTTTCATCTGACGGTGGTTGAACCGGATGGGATTTCGATACTCCACTTATTTATTATCCAAATTTCCAAAGTCCATGATATTACAAGTGGCGATCGAACCCACAATTCGTTTATTATAAAGCATACATTGCTACCATACCAACGAGCTCGTCAAAATAAAACCCAAGTGAACTGGGAGACGCGTGTGTTGTAGACCGTTGCGATTAGGGACAACGTTAATTTTCCGTGGTCTCAAATATCGGTGATGGCGGTTTGAAACATATTACATTCAACGTACTATAGATATACGTATATAGACTTAATACAAATGTGGACAGCATAAGGTTTTGACCTTGAAGTTCCATCTTCAACGAGCTATAATTTGGTCTTTGATTGCTATGATCACTTGTTTGCCGAAAATTTTCGCACCTAATTATAAATATGGCTGTCGACAGTCACGCCCTCTGTTTGAATCAATATCACATCTGCGTAGCGTTTCTCAAAAATTAACACTTTTAAAAGTATTTTGACTCGGAGACAAATACTGTCTGTAGTTTACAAGTTTAAAACGCGATATATATTAGTTAAACTTATTTCAATATTACTAATTAATTAGAACGTCAAGCTGAATTGAAAAATAAGTGTATCTAATATATATTGCGGTTTAAACCGTTAAAGTGTCGGAAATCAAGAAAATGTTGTTAGAACTGCTTTCAAAAATCGAGGTTGTATATAGTGAAAAATATGACAAAAAAAAAGAATAATAAAAAAAGAAATCCAAACAACTTACCAAATTATAATTTCATCGCGAACATTATGATAAACATCTTTTCAACGAGTACTATTTATATTAAGTAATAATAACTACAAAGCAATTAATATAACTTATTATAAATACTTTTTTCTAGTAAAGAAAAAGTATTTGCGTAGATCTTTACAATAATAATGACAATTATTAGTTTCTATACTGTCTAGTTAACCTTAAAAGATAAACGTTTTGAGTCGTGGATATGTTATATTTATACCTACTGCTATAAAAATATTCCAAAATGATTTTTTGGTATCTTGCAACCGTCTTGCTCACCAAGATGAATAATTTTCCGCGTTTTTTCGACATTTCCCAGAGTTTAGTCACGGCGCGATGTTATAATCTGTAACCCTCCTCGATAAATACTCTAAACAATACAAAAATACTTGTTAAATTCGAACCAGTACTTTTGAGATTAGTGCGTTTAAACAAGCAAACTCGTCAGCTTTATAAATTAGTTATATTATATTATTAGTTATATATGAATATATTTTTTTACTTCAATATCTAAAGTACTTTTAAACACATTTTGAGGTTTTCAGTATTATTTCCGGTTAAGCTCTATCGTTTAAATAAAACACTTTAACGGTTTAAAACGCGATGTATTAGTTATATATATATTAGTTATTTAACATATTTGAAAAGGATTTTTAACTTCGGCCTGACGTTTCGGATGCTTTGCAGCAGCCGTGGTCACGGGGAGACTGACCACGTCTAACAATCGTTTTCAAATAAGTTTTACTAATATATCGCGTTTTAAACCGTTAAAGTTTTTATTTAAACGTGTACTACTCGCGTAAACTATAGACAGTATTTAAGCCTTATCGTGAAAACACCTGTTTTAAAAACATTTCAATTCATTACGCCACTTTTCTATACAAAATCTCGCCATTTTTCGTACAAATATTTGAAACTTGTTCAAACATCGGCTAATGTTATAATTGTAAATAGATTAACTCAAACACGATATATTCACATTAAACTGCCATGATGTCATATATTCTTTTATTCATTCATTCCCAGTGCATATATTCTTTTATTGCTTCATTCCCAGTGCTGGGCTTGGGAATATATTTACTACAAAATGTCACTATAAGTATATATAAAGAGTACTTTATTTCCGAAGGAAATTATCACAAAACTAATTACTAACTAATTTTAGTATAACATTTACAAATATTATTAATGTGAGGGCTCGTGACTGTGTTAAAGCAGAAACGGCTTGATCAATTTTGATAAAATTGTGCGCCAAGGAGCAACTATATTTTTACGAGAATGGTAAAATTATATACCAAAAAAAAATATAATAGTTTAGTACTATGGCAGTATATGCCCTTTTAAATAAAACATGTTTACCGGTTTAAAATATGTATATTACATAAGCAGTGGTCATAAAGGGTCCACATCTGCTGTAAAAATGCTGAATAAATTAAAAATATCGTAACTAACATATTTCACGTTTAAAGCCGTTAAAAGTATTTTATGTAAACTACAATATGGATAGGGGACCAACAATCTTGAACTAAAGAACAAATGAATATTGCGCAGTGATTGTGTAACGCATTCCCTTGAAATATATCTTTTTGTTTATGCCGAATTTAAAATAAGGTGAAGGCAGTTGCTGCGTCGGCTGCTTTATTACTAAGAAGGGAACAGTATACGTTTACCAAATATGTAAGTTAGTATAATCTGATACCACAAAATGTTGGTAAGTGTCGTTAAAAAAACACTTTAACGCTTTAAAACGCGATATATATTATTTAAACTTATTTGAAAATTATTTTAACTATGGCCTGACGTGTCGGACGCTTTGCAGCAGCTGTGGGCGCGGGGAGACAAGAGTCGTTTAAGCAATGTAAGTCTTGTCTGTAGTTTACAGTAGTACACATTGACGGTTTAAAACGCGAAAGTATTAATCACTTCATTTCCAATTTATCCAAGCATATCGGATGCTTTTCAACCGTGTTC